TCGAGCTGCCGAGATAAACAGCCTGGTAAACTCCTTTGGTAGGAAAGCTGGCAAAGCTGCAGTTTTAAGATAAGATTGAATTCCCTGAGATTTTTGATGAGCAAGGATTTCCTGTGCATCAGGTGTTAATCATACAGGAGCAGCAGACATTTTGGAGTTATTTTATCTTTGGTAAATAGCACATCCTAGTGGGTATGAAGGGACCCATGGGTGAGTCTATGTGGAACACAGCACTGGAGAACCAAGGACCAGGGATGAGCACCTGACAAAGGTGGTGGAGAGTGAAAGAGTTCGGCAGCTCGTACAAATAAAGGCTTCTTTGGTTCCTGGTGAGGGCCTGCGTCCTGGTTTGTAGATGGCTGCCCTCTCACTGTATGTTCCCAAGAAGCAGAGGCTGAGCATCCAACACCAAATGGACTGCAATATTAAATTACAAGTGTACTAGCCACATAAAAATGCTTTATACCTTCCCCGTGCACTAGCCCTCGCCTGCTACAGCTATGAGAGAAAGGAAAGACAGAAAGGAGAAGCAGCTCCTGTTCGTCCTTTCTCAGCTGGGCTTCTGATCTTCTAATATAAAAATATTTTAATTGATAAAAATAGTACAGATTTTAAGTACACTGGGCTGGACTTTTTAAAACCTGAGTGCAACCAGGAGAGTTTTAGAATATACTTAGTTATTAGTTGTTGAGAAAAATAAGCTATTTTATTCTTTTACCCTTATGGAGTCCAGCTTATTTAATAAACTACTTTTACATGTGCCCCTTCTTATACAAGGGGAATTCTGGTATCTATGATAAAATAATGTGCATGCAATCTTTGGAGTTAGACCAAACCACGTAGTCTCTCCAACCCAGCACCTGCTAGCCATGTGGCCTTGAAAGTACTGCCTCTGTTTGCACCTGTTTCCTTCCCTGCATAATAAAAATAACAATCACCCCTACTTAATGAGGTTATTGTAAAAGTAAAATTTGGCAAGATATGAGAACCAGTCTTTAAACTGTAGTCTCTAAAGCTCATGCTAAGATTTATATATGTTATGCTCCAAATTGGAAACAACCAGAATCCTTTGAAAACAGGAACACAATTACACAAACAATACCACATCTGTATAAACTGAGTGGCCAGTTCTCTTCATGCACACATGCCCACATCAGTCTTTTCCCTTCTGAATTCCCACCATAGTATGTATCATTTGTCCCTTGACACAATCAATGATTAGAGCCACTGGCACTAGAGAGCTATTTGGTTCCCAGCACCAGAGAGAAAGACATGCTGAATAAAATTAAATTATAGTTACATTAGGGGACTTTATGACAGTTGAATTTACTTCTGGTATCTAGAAATCAAATAGATCAAGAGACAGAGACTTGTAACTGCCACAAATTCTGATTTTACATCAACTGTCTTTCTTCTTGAGTTCATCAAACCACCGGCTGTGCTGACGTTGGAAACGCCCACCTTTGATGTTTCCCTGGGCCTGTCCTCAAGTGTTTCCAATATGTCAGGTTACTTCAGAGGGGCATACATTCATTTTCTGGAGACACATCAGAAGTGTTTTTCACCTCTGAAGTCATCACATCCCACTTCCATCACCATTTCCTGTATTGCCTGGTCCAGATTGCTTCAATATCACATCCCCGACAGTATTGCCATATTCACTGAGTTGTCAATACCGATTCTGATTATTATTGTGCCAGGAAAAAGGCTCACTTAGATAATGAAGTCATGACAGGGAGGCCATGGGTCGAGCCACAATGATGCTGATGGTCATATCACTTAGCCCTTCACTAACCAGCAAATACAGCCATACCTGTAATCCAACCAATGGGGGACTGTAAGTGTTGGGTACCCTGGCCCTGACAATGTTCTTATCTTTCTCCCAGACCCCGGAACAGTATTGAAGAAACCAATCCCAAATCTCGCCTGCCTTTAGACTCTACACCTTGTCTGGTAATGGACTTCCTGCTCTCCTCTTTGTCAGTATGGCATTTATTACATCTCACTGGTCTATTCCTAGCAATAAGTTGTGAAGAAACACAGTCCATGCTACTAAGAGTTATTTCAAAATAACTCATGTCTCTTACTTGTATACCTCAGACACCACAAGGGGAACACAAACCTAGAGCCCCATAATTCTTTTTTAAAATCTCCTTCCATTCTTTTCTTCACTATCTACTACCCTTCTGGTTGGGAGCTGGGCCTTTTAATTTTCTTTAGCCCTTCCTCCAATTTCTCAGGACCTCCTCACCACGCATCTGTTGGAATCTTCCACTTTTCTTCAGATTCTCCATGAGAAAGCCCCAGAATTGGTATGGCAGGTAGACTCCTGCTCAAAGGCAGAGAGGATAAGTTGGGAGCTTTCCCACTTTAACAGCTCTGACCCAACACACTGGCACTGCAGAGCGCCTGGAGCTCTGCCCCAGGTTAGCCAGTGGGTGAGGGCAGGGGCCACTTTGAAGAGCGGTTCCTAGTTCAGCAAGAACTGTTCAATAAGAATACTAATGTTTTCCTTGCAGTTACCTAGTTAAGGGAGTAGAGTTTTCTAGAAGAGATTCAAGTTCCCTTCCTTCTCTGGCTTCCAGAAGGGCAGAAAAAAAGGACTGTGGGAGGGATGGCAGGCAACAGAGGCTGAAGTCAGTCCAGGACTGTCCAGCAAAGCCACCCGAGGTGGTTCCTGCAGGGGTAACATACCTCCAGCATATTGTGTCCATTGCATGGAACCTAATGAGTTTCCTGTGTTTATTTTCCCTCTAAGGACAAAGAGATTGAAATTTTATTTCTGAAACCTATAATGGAGGAGGATTAACAGGCCCTGTCAGGGATGAGAGAGTTAAGTCTTTAGTGACTCTCTACATGGCCAACACAAAATTGCATATGCAGCTACATGCCATTAAATGGTGGTTTTGAATGGTATTAAATGGCATAGGGGATTTCTAAGAACAAAAAAAGCAGAATACAAATTTCATAGAGCATTACAGAATAATCCTGTTTTCTTAGAGCAAAAGAACATGCACCTGGAAAAAAAATGTAGCCACATTTATCTCTCAAGTTGCATAACTTTTTATTTTTATTTGTTTCTTTCTGTATTTTCTTAAGTATTATATTAAAAACTTAGAAAAAAACACTCATGAGAGTGAGCAGCTCTCTAGTAGCCCATAAGTGTGCAAGGACAGCACCATTCAAGCTCACTTGCACCCTGAGCTGCTCTCAGGCTTCCCAAGCTTCACCCTAAGGTCTCCATCTAGTTCACTCCATTGCGCCCACCATCCTCTATGATCAGCACCTGTTCCCCCCACCCCCTTAACTGTACCTGCACCCTGGGCGTCTAGAGAAGAGACAATGGGGGAGATTGAATAATCAGCAGCTATGCAGCCAGTAAAAGAGGGAAAAAGGGAAAAGCAGGTGACCATGCTCTTTTTATGTAGAAACTGATAGCAAGATAGTCTAGATCCATCTGCTTCTCTGAGGAGGTAGAACAAAACATCTGGAGAAGCCTCCTCAGACACATTCAAGGGCATCTCTGTGCAAAGCTAAATTTAGCTGCTGTATTTCCATGGGAACAAACACAGTCCTTATTTTCAAGCCTTTTTATTTTTTATGAGGGGCAATTTATGGGCAATGTGATCATCTGCAATATACTTATGAAAGCTTTCAGAAAACAAGGCTGGTTCCCAAGAGGACTTGCTGAACAAAACCCAATGTGGGGCCTGAGGCTAGTCTTGGTGGTTTCAGACCCAATTTTATCACCATCTTCATGCTATGAACTTACACAAATAAGTGCATAAGGAAGAAATAGAAAATGAGAATGAGGATTCACTGAAAATTTAAATGATATTATATCACAGTTATGATTCCATAGCAATTCCACTCTTAGGCATATACCTAAGAGGATTGAAAATATATGTCTACCTAAGAACTTCTATAAGGATGTTCATTGCATCATAATTCATAATAGTCAAAGAGTGGGAACAACTCAAGTCCATCAACTGATGAATACAAAAATAAAATGCGGTAGATTCTTATAGTGGAACACCACTAAGCAAATAAAAGGAGGAAGTCCTGACATCTGCAACAATATAGATGAAACTTGGAAACTTCAGGCAAAGTGAATTCAGCCAGACAAAAAAAAAAGGCAACATATGGATTCTACTGTGTGAAATGTCCAGAATAGGCAAATTCATAGGGACAGAAAAGGTTCACAGGATCAGAGATGGAGGAAAGAGAAAGTTAGGAGAAATTTCTAATTCAGAATTCCTTCTGAGGATGATGGAAATGTTCTGGGATTAGTGGTAGTAGTTGTGCCCACCACCTTGTCAATATTAACTAACAGGGGCTGGGGATGTGGCTCAAGCGGTATCGCGCTCGCCTGGCATGTGTGCGGCCCGGGTTCGATCCTCAGCACCACATACAAACAAAGATGTTGTGTCCACCGAAAACTTTAAAAAAAATAAATATTAAAATTCTCTCTCTCTCTCTTTAAAAAAAAATATTAACTAACAAATTATATACCTTAAAAAGGTGAATACTATGTTATGTAAAATTTTGATCTACATAGATCTTAATCTCAATTTTTTAAAAATTAAAAGAATGGAGGCTTAGTGCTGGGGAAGTAGCTTGGTGGTAGATAAGCATGAGACCTGGGCTTCAATCCCAGTACTAGAGTAGAAGGTAAAGGAGAAGGAGAAGGGAGGAGAGAGAGGAGGAGAAGGAGGGGGAGGAGGAGGAAGAGGAAGAGGGCTGCTTAGAGGATGAGGTCATCTGATTAGCTCTCACTTCAGAGCCCCAGATGAAATCCACATCAGCCATAACATTTGACCAGTATGGGTTCTGAGCAATGGGGTATTTGTATAGTTTCGGTGCTTTGTAGTAACTGATCTGACCCTATAGTGTTGCCCTGCCCACCACACAAATAGAACTACATAGGTGCCCGTGGCTCACTCCATGCTACTGGATAGGTACTGGTCTGGGCAAAAGGACCAGTTCCAGCGGTCCCCTGCTTTTTTATTTTTTCTAATTGAAGATTTTTATTATTGCAGACTGGACTGATATAGCTTCAGGTCTTAAACATGACAGAACCTGCAGATACTACCATTCTTTGTTTTGGATAAGGATGGGGAAAGCAGGATCAACAGAGATGGTAATATAAGGAAATTCTTAAGAGTGCCCTGTGGTAAACCTGAAGGTCAGCCTGGGATGTGATGTCCCCATTCATTCTAGTTAGTCTTCTGCGAATACCCATGACCCCAGAGCATCTGACTGAGCAAGGGGGTCTCTGAGCGGGCAGTGAGGATGGGACAGGGAATCCCACCAACATGTTGCCTCTTGCACTTATTGCACAATTAGCCTCAGTGAACTATTCATTTGTTGACCTTGAGCTAGTTGTTAAAGAATAATGGATAGGGAGGGATCCGCCAGGGTTGCTACAAGGACAGTTTCCTTTCCTAAGTAATGAAGCTGTCTTTTCAACACAGCTGTGCCTTCAAATGCAGGTTTCCGACCCAGGTAGAGACACAGCAGCAGCACAAACATTAAGAGGCTAAGCCAGCACCACTGACATCCCCCACGAGATGCTCTTTCTCACTTTGTGAAACTCATCTTTCCGTTTTTATTTCCTTCTTTTCAAAATTTTGATAGTTATGGAAATGGCATTTGTCGATTTAGTGCTTCTCTTCAAAGGGTTTCCTTAATAATTTGGCTTGTATTCTGCCTATTTAATTCACGAACCTCATGCTCTATCTGTGCTACTGAATTGCTAAGTCTTTTCATCTTCTCAACAACGTCTGTGTCTATTTGAGCAAAAGATGTTTACAGAATTAGCTGAATCTATACGGCCTTTCAGGGCTTTTAAGACTTCTCCTTTTTCTCTTCTCAATTAAGGAAATGGATTTCTTAAACTATAAGAAAAAAGTTGATTTTTAAAAAATCCCTCACTTAAAAATTTCTTAACTTTGCCACTAGAGCTAATTCCAAGCAGAACTGGAAAATGAAATGGAGTCATTGTTTTCCCTCATCCACTTCCATGCTTCTGTTTTGTTAGCTGGTGATAAGTTAAAATTTTTTTATTTTGCTCTAAAAGGGTGAATGGCCACCTTGGAATAGTCAGGTCATGTTAAGCCAGTTGCTGAGAATTTAAAAAATCAACAAGGAAAAAACATCAAATATGTTTTAAACTCCTAAAGTATTTTCTACATTCTCTTCTCAACTCAGATCTATCTTATATCACCACAACAATTTGTATCCTGTAACAAATCATTAAATAAATGACAAAGGAAGAGTCTTAGTTTGCTGTTAGTTTTTGTTGTTTTTGAAGGGCTGTCAGTCAGATGCATAGTTCCTCATTTCATAACCTATGTCCCACTAATTTAGGCTCAGAAATTTCAGAACCATCTCCCCACTTTCAATTTTTGGTTATTACCATGACACATGAAGGTCAAGTGTCCTTTTTCCAGTCACCCCACATCTCTTTGGCAAAGATCACAGGAAGGGAAAAGGGTTCTTGCTTTAATTGACATAGTCTTCCCAACGCTTCCCGTGTGCTCCAACAACAGCTTGAACCTTCTCTATGTGTCACTTCGCTGTACTTCCAATGATCACTTCCAATGATCCATTTACTTCATGAACTCTCCTAGACTCAGGAGCGCAGGAATCACAACTTATTTGTTGTTTGAGTCCTTATTCCTAGAACAAAGAGATAAATGTTACATGAAGCAGGACACTTACTGGATTGAGAGGCTGGGCATTCTGAGATTGTTGGAGGGAACTCAGGTAAACTGGCCATATCCTTTGTAGAAAGTAGGCACAGAGTCCCTGTGCATTGACTGTCCAAACTGCCCAAGAAATTCAAGGCCAGAATGCAGCAACTCCAATCATTTTTATCTGAAAATGTTTATCTAAAAAGAACTCCTACCTAAAGGAAAGTTACCCCACACAGTACCATTATGAACATCTGCTTGCCTACCAAATATGTAAAAAAAAAAATATTGACAATTGTTAAAATTTGGCCATATTTGCTTTATCTATAGCTATTAAACATATAGATATTTTAAAATAGCTTCAGGTTTAAGAAAAAAAGATGGTCTTTATGGAGAAAATATCTAAAGCAAAGACATTAAAGCATCATTCCATTGCCCAAACAATGAAGAGGTGATCCCTTTTCCAGGCTTTTAAGGCCTCTGTAATCTGAGTCTTGCTGACTTCATTTCTAAATATATCTGTGGCTGCTCCTCCACCTCATGTCCTTCTCCAGCCAGGCAGAACTATTCTAAATTCTAGGATCAGCATCCAGCTTTCTCTCTTCTCCCTCTGGGTCTTGGTGCATGCTATTCCATTTGTGTGGTGTGTCCTACTGCCATCCCTCTTTTATCTGGTAATTTCTACTTTAGCTCTTCAGGCTCTTCAGGCTGTTTAGAAGCTTTTGCCATCTGCTTCCATTGTGCCCCTATCAGAGCTCCTAAAACATGGCCTAGGTCTCTCTCCACTGTTAGATCTGACCCTGATAGTAAGAACCTTATTTCTTTTTTTAATTTTTTTATTCTAATTTGTTATATGTGACAGCAGAATGCATTATAATTCATATTACAGATATAGAGCATAATTTTTCATATCTCTGGTTGAATACAAAGTAAACTCACACCAATCGTGTCTTCATACATGTATTTAGGGTAATGATGTCCATCTCATCACACCATCTTTTTTACCCCTACGCCCCTTCTCTTTCCCTCCCTCCCTTTTGCCCTATCTAGAGTTCCTCTAATCTTCCCATGCCCCCCTCCCTATCCCACTATGAATCAGCCACCTTATATCAGAGAAAATATTCAGCATTTGGTTTTTTGGGGATTGGCTAACTTCACTTAGCATTATATTCTCCAGTTCCATCCATTTACCTGAAAATGCCATGATTTTATTCTCTTTTAATGCTGAGTAATATTCCATTGTGTATATACATCACATGTTCTTTATCCATTCATCTACTGAAGGACATCTACGTTGGTTCCACAGTTTAACTATTATGAATTGTGCTGCTATAAACATTGATGTGGGTGTGTCCCTGTAGTATGCTGTTTTTAAGTCCTTTGGGTATAGACCCAGAAGTGGGATAGCTGGGTCAAAAGGTGGTTCCATTCTCAGTTTTCCAAGGAATCTCCATGCTGCTTTCCATATTGGTTTCACCATATTTCAGTCCCACCAGCAATGTATGAGTGTGCCTTTTTCCCCACATCCTTGCCAACACTTATTTTGTTTGTATTCTTAATAGCTGCCATTCTGACTGGAGTGAGATGAAATCTTAGAGTAGTTTTGATATGCATTTCTCTAATTGCTAGAGATGTTGAACATTTCTTCATAAACTTATTGATTGACTGTATATAACCTTCTGAGAAGTGTCTGTTCAGTTCCTTGGCCTGTTTACTGATTGGGTTCTTTCTTTTTCTTTTTTCTTTTTTTTTTTTATTGGTGTTTAGCTTTTTGAGTTTAGTGCTCTATCTGATGTGCATGTGGTAAAAATTTGCTCCCATTCTGTAGGCTTTCTATTCATCTCACTGATTATTTCTTTTACTGAGAAGAAGCTATTTAGTTTGAATCCATCCCATTTATTAATTCTTGATTTTAATTTTTGCACTATAGGAGTCTTATTAAGGAAATAGGAGCATAATCTTATATGATGGAGAGTTGGGCCTACTTTTACTTCTATTAGACACAGGGTCTCTGGTTTAATACCTAGGTCCTTGATCCACTTTGAGTTGAGTTTTGTGCATGGTGAGAGATAGGGGTTTAATTTCATTGTGTTGCATATAGATTTTCAGTTTTCCCAGTGCCATTTGTTGAAGAGGCTATTTTTTCTCTAATGTATGGTTTGGGTGTCTTTGTCTAATATAAGATAACTGTAATTATATGGGTTAGTCCTTGTGTCCTCTATTCTGTATCATTGGTCTCTATTTTGTACTATTGCTCTGTAGTATAGTTTAAAGTCTGGTATAGTGATGCCAGCTGCTTCACTCTTCTTGCTAAGGATTGCTTTAACTATTCTGGATCTCTTATTTTTTCCAAATGAACTTCATGATTGCTTTTTCTATTTCTATTTGGCATCCTGTAGTCTTCTTGGATTTGATTTTCCAATTCATTCTTCATGTTTGGAAAATTTTCTGATATTATTTCATTGAATAGATTGTTCATTCCTTTAGTTTGGAACTCTATTTCTTCCTCTATCCCAATAACTCTTAAATTTGGAATTTTTAGGCTATCCCATATTTCTTGAAAGTTCTGTTCATGGTTTCTTACCATTTTCACTGTGTGGTCTACATTATTTTCAAGATTATATATGTCTGAGGTCCTGTCTTCCAAGTGGTCTAATCTGTTGTTGATACTTTCAGTTGAATTTTTTTTATTTTTTTAATTTGTTTTAATTAGTTACTCATGACAGTACAATGATCTTGACATCATACATTTGAATCAGATGGGGTATAATTTCTTATTTTTCTGAGAACTTTTTAATCTGGTTTATTGTTTCTTTCATTTCAAGGATTTCTGTTAGGTTTTTTTTTTTAAGAATCTTTATCTCCCTATTAAAGTAATGTTTTGCTTCCTGTATTTGTTTATGTAGCTCTTTGTCAAAATGATCTTTTGCTGCCTATATTTGCTCTCTTATATCATCCTTTAATTCATAGAACATTCTAATTATGTACATCCTGAATTCCTTCTCTGTAATTTCTTCTGCTGTGCTGGCCATAAATTCTAATAATATGGTATCTTGATTTCCACACTTTCCTCCCTTATCTTTTTATGTTGCTTGTGTGTCTTCCCTTCTAGCACTGTGAATCCAAGGCATTACCATTTTTACCCGATAAGCTTATAGTGTCCCTGTAGGGTTCCAATACCTCTCCATTGAGGTGAAGGACAATGTTAACAGATCCCAATATAAACAATAGCCTTAAAACAATTAATTCATATTAAGACATTTACAGTTTGGTCACAATGTCAGAATGGTGAATTCAATTATTATGTACAATATAATCAATAGGTTTGTAAAAAGGTTTACAGTTTCTGATGGTGGACAAAGAACTGGGGGTGAGGTGTAGGATGATATGCTGAGGAGGTAGAAAGTGAGGAAGTAGAGTTGTATCTTAGGAAGTGTGAAAGAGAACTCTAAAGAAGAAGATAGTAACTGGAGAGGAGAGAGGAAGTAACTTTGGGTAGACAAGTAAGTGAGAAGACAGTTGAGTTCATAAAACAAACACACATATATATTAAGAAAAATTAAAAATGTTAAAGTAGTAGAAATTGGTATAATATAAGAAGGGGAAAAAAAGAATATATACAACACAGCTGTAATATACTATTCAGATGTCCCTATCCTCAAAATTCTAACTCATGCAAAGTACTTTGTTTCACATGTTAGGGATATGAGGGAAGGAGAATAGAGAGGGAGAGGGGGAAAAAAATCTTGAAGGAAGAAACAGGATTGTTTTAGTTGGAAATTTCTTTCCTGCTTCCCTTCTCATCCAATAGATGGGGTCGTTTGTTATTTGCTGGTATCTCCACCCTCAGAATAGTGAAAGTAATTAGGATGTCACTGTGCCGCGGTAGTGGCTGCTGGGGAGAGGGGGGAATTAGAAGCTAGGTACCTGGCCAGCCAAAGTTCCAAACTGGGAGTTGCCCCCCACTGAAGATGGTGATGAATGTGACCCAAGATGGAGGCGCCTGCTTTCAGCAGTGGGCTATGGGGTCCAAGCAATGGTGTAGGACAATGAGTTCATAGACAGCTCTGTGGCATGCAGTGTGTGGCTGTCTTCAAAGCCTGTGTGAAGTTCTTGGGTGCAGGCAGGCCACTGTGCATAGGGGATTATCTGAGCTGCTGCAGGGTCCCAAGATGGCGGCCACCAGGGAAGCCCTACATTGGTAGATGGGAGTTCACACAGGAATGGCGGCCAGAGTTATTGTGTGTGGGAAGCTGCCGGTGTCCTGCGTGGTCACCTATTTGCTCCGGTGGGTGGCAGAAAGTTCTGCGCAGGTGTTGATGGTCTGGCTTGGGTACCCTGTGTGGGCCAGCATTTGGGAGACCTACTCTGATGCTGAGGCCTGGAGCCCTAGATGGGCATGGTGGCCATGATTCCTGTGAGGAAGCAGGAATATAGCTCGCAGAGAAGTAGTATTCTCACTACTTGAGTCCCAGGTCATGGAGCAACACAGAATGCTGCCTCCCTCTAGCCCGCCACCTTGGATCCGGACCTTATGTCTTTTATCTCAGCATCCTTCATACCTGGAGAGGGCTTCCCACAGGAGTTCTCAACAAATGTCTGTCAAAATAACAAGCTTATAATAAGTCACCAGACTAGCTTGGCATTTATAGAACCTAAAGAACTGAATTTCTTTGGCAAACCCTCTCCCTCTTTTGACATGAATTCTCCCATTCTTACTCCATGAACTTTAAGGTTTCTTCTAGCCCCTCCCATATTACATAGATAGAGGGGTAGCTTCTAGAGCTAGCAAATGCCAAGCAGTTTCTATGACAACCACAGGTTCTGTGGCCCAGACATGTAAAATTTCATCCTGAATGCACAATGCACCAAACTCTCCCTGCTCCCAATGGCCACCAAGAGATGAATTATTTGATTTTTTAATCCCCCCTCCCTTAGATGATTCCTCCATTCCAGACCTATTTCTGAGAGACCCAAAAATGGTTG